ATTCCAGCTGGGGAGATGGACAGTGAGCAGGAGAAATAGGTAAAGTGTAGAGAGGGTGAAGTGCTAAGGGAAAAGATGGAGCAGGAAATGGGATTAGAAATGAAAGGCCATCAAAGAAGACCTCCTGGAGAAGGTGGCATTTGAGCAAAGACCTGAAGGAGCGTGAGGGAGGAGCCATGTAGGAATCGGGAGGAAGAGCCTTCCAGGCAGGGGGAGGAGCAAGTGCAAAGGTCCTGAGGTGGGACTATGCCTAGTGCATCTGAGGAGCTGAAAAGAGCATGTGGCTGGAGCAGAGTTATCCAGGGGCAGAGTGACAGGGGCATTGGGGGGGGGGGGTTGGGGTACCTCTGCCATTTAGTAGCTCAGGGACCATATTCGTTTTCTGCGGCTGCCATCACAGGGAGGTTAGAAGTTGGAGACGAAGATATCACCAGGACCGTGCTCCCTCTGAGACTCAGTAGAATCCTTCCTCGCCTCTTTCTGGCTTCTGCCGGTGGCCGTCGACCCTGGGCTTCCTTGACTTCTCTCCACACTCTGCCTCCGTAGCCACGTGGCTGTCCTCTCCCCTGCGTGTCCCAGTCTCCACCTGGTGTTTTCCTCTTCCTTAAAAGGACACCAGTCATATTGGATGGGAGCCCCCCATCATGACCTCACCTTAACTTAATGGTAGCTGCAGAGACCTATTTCAATTAAAGTAACATTCCCAGGTCCCGGGGTTATTACTTCCAACACATCTTTTGGGGAGACACAATGCAACCCAGAACGGACCTTGGGCATGGAACTTTCTCTCTCCTTATCCTCCCAGGAAGATGGGAAGGATTGTGAACCACCTTTTGGGGTCCGTGAGAGGATTAACTGAGCTCAGGTAGGCTGAGTGCCTGGCATTGGGTATGTCTGTTATTAGGCTGGGCAGCATGTCATGGGCCAGAAGGTCCTAAGCCTGTTGGGGAGCTGGGTTGTGGGCAGAGTCTGAGATGGACGGGCTGCCTCAGTTCTGAGGGGCCTCTGCTGTTTCTCCCTGTTCCATCCCGCCTCTCTCCCCCCACCTGCTCTGTCCCCATCCCAGACCTGTTTCCTGAGATGGCCCAGACTTTTTCTTGTGTTGGCTGGTGCGGGCTTTCTCTCCCTGGACTATATTTAGCCTAAGAAATAGGCATGAGAAGCCTCAGCTGCTGCAGCACTGGAAAGGAAAAGCACAAAGCCAGTCCTGCCTTCTGTCCAGCCCTGTCTGCTGACTCCATTCTTTCTTCTAGAACCTTCTAGAAGCAAAGCATCAGAACTTTGGGTGTTTGTTGGAAGAAGGACATGAGTTAGGAGCCCTGACATATTAATTGTCCCCAGAACTTGTCCATGTGTCCATGATGAAAGTTGACTTTGTTTGTCGGTTTGCTTTGTTTTCCGTTTTTTTACTGTGGTAAAATACGCATGACATAAACTTTACCGTCTTAACCATTTTTTTTTTTAAAGATTTTATTTATTTATTTGAGAGA